TAAGTTAAATTTTGTATTTTATTAGTTATTGCTATGTCCTGAAGGAGACTGAAGGTAAGGACTAGATATTCCAATCAAATTTAATGTCTTTTTTTTCTTTAAGCATTTCATACTATCAAGTTAACTGGTCCAATAAGCTATTAATAAAGAAAATATTGCGTGCCTAGATTCTTTGTGGATGTATTTCATTGTCGAAAGATCTGGCATAAAACTAAATTGGTTCTCAAAAATAGACACACTCCTCCGCGCCCTTACTTCTATCATCCTCCCCCAAACCTTCATCGTATGGCTTAATAGCTTGATACCTCTATCACAATTTTTTATATCTCCCTTGTTCTTATACAATAAATTAAGACCAAGATGACTATAATATACCCTATTACTCATTTTGGGAAGGATGGTCACTATACGCTCATTATGGGAAGGATGGTCGCTATACTCTTGTATGTGATACCGTACTCCATGATAGGGAGGAATAAATCCCTCACGAAGACCATATCCCCCGTTCAAAAGATAATATTTATCCATAAAGCAAAATTAAAGCTCCCAAATAGCTATAAGCTAAACCAAACATATCCATATTAAAATGCTGGAACAAACCCTTATGAAACAAATATTTAACCTTGTTCTCCATATCAATTGCCCTTGTAATGGTACTTTTTCATTTTTAACATTTCTAGGGGTTTTCAGCAGCAAGGAGATCAAACAAATCTGAAAAGAAAATCACACACACTGTTCCTAAAGTATTTAGGAAAATAGAGATGAAACTACAAAAAACACAAAATGAAAAGTTAAAAATTGTATTGCAGAACGTCACTAAATAACGAAAAGTACCTTTATCATTGCCGAAAAACGGTAGCCCACGCCAGCAGAGAATAAAGGAGAGGTTCGCCAAAACCCTAAATTAGTGCGATGGTGAATGGAAGAGAGATTCTCGAAAGCTTAAACTGAAGATCGGAGAATATTGGGACCGAAGAGAGACAATGAAAAGTATGACCGATTTGGGAAGGGCACCAACGGAAGGGGGGGGGGGGGGGAGGGGGAGGGGGGAGGCACGCATTTTTGTTTTGAGGAAAATGTTTTTCCTTCAAATTTAGGAAAGTCATATTCTCCTAATTAGAGAAAAATAGTTTGTTAAGAAAAATATTTTCCATATTTATCTCAACCAAATAAGAAAAAATAAAATAAAAAACATTTTCCCCTAACCAAATACACCCAAAATGTTATAAATAGAATTGTATTTATGGTGAATGTCTATATTTAGAGAGATTCTAGGGTTCATTGCTTGGTGGCTAAGTCACTCTCCCTATAAATAGAGGGTTCTATTTTATTGTAATTCATCTCAAATCAATAAGAATTCTCTCTCCCTACTTTTCTCTGCAATACTATTCTTCTACTTTTATTGTTTCATAACACGTTATCAGCACGAGACTCTAACCAATTGAGTAGAAGCTTTGGGGTTGAGCATAATGATTGTCAATTGTTCCATGAACTTCCTTCATGATTAAATTCTGGATTTAAGGTAAGTATCTTACTTTATTTTTCTCTTTTAAATTCTTAAAATTCTATAACTTGATTTTATATACAAGCAAAGACAACAAAGTTTGATTATAACTCTAATGGAGTTTGTAAGAAATTATAACCACCTGAAGTGGTAAAATTTCTATGTCTTGCCATGATCAAATTCATGTATGATTATGAGCACAAGAAGTGGAAACCCGTCCCATTGAATTTGCTCCATTCTCATTGCCTTAAGAGAATGTGATAGCAATATGCAATAAGTCTAAAAGAAGATAAAATTATTACCATAAAGGTATCAATGGATGTGGACGTGGTAATAGACGAAATTATAATCGTCATTATCACGGTAATGAGAATAATAAGGATTCTCAAAATAAGCCTTCACTCTATGAAGTTAATGTTTGTCATCGATTTGACATAAGATTTCGTAAAGCACATACAGATGACTATGGTCCATTCATGATGTGAATGTGAAAACATCTGATTTATGAATACATATTCATTCTTGGAAGAATATAAATGTGCTAGTGGTAGTGAATATACCACACTCGCCTCTAAAAGGAGGTTTGAGATGATATAAGAAAATAATGTCATTATTATGGCATGAATGGTCATTGGTCACGTACCTATTGCACGCCAAAATATTTTAGCAATGTGATTGTTAAAGAATAACATTAATGCAAGAAACATATCTTGCATATAATTATGACCATAACCATAATGGTATAACTTTCTCTTTAAAGAGATATTCACCATATGGATGTTGATGAATATGTGGTAGTACCAAACTAATTGAGAGCTCTGGAAGAGCCAATTATTACTATTTTGGAGGAATAAAATTGATTATCAATAAGGCATTGTATTGTAGTAAGTCTGAAAGAAACTTAGTTTCCAAAGTATAGCGAAAGCGGTTGGTCATATTGAAATAAAGGAAAGATTTAATATCTTCTATTACTACAACTTGTAGCGGGGTAATATGCATGTGAAAAGCTACTCGCTTTATTCTTCAGTTTGTACTACACAAACAAAAGAATGCCATAATAAAGTGGATGTTTATTGATATAAAAATCCATATCATAATAAACTTGGAGTTTATCGATAATTGCACACGTCGTGGTGTAAACCTAGTCTTTATCAATATTGATAATTTATTCAGTTGACATAATTGGTTTAGCCATATCAATTTAAGCATGATGTGCAAAAATAAAAGAGAATTCACATGAGTAAATATTAAAGAACTAGAAAGTTCTTTATGAATTCTCTTATGTTGCCTGGTCTCATTAATTAATATACCAACTAAAATTGGGATTGAATCCCATGAATGCTGGAAATATCAAAGGTGAATATGGGCCCATTCACCTGCCATGTATACCACATAAGATGTATCTATGAGATGGTTGCATGTGAGATTATTATTAACCCGCAACCTGGTGTTTGCGAGGTAACTTGCTCAATAATTTAATATAGAGCATAATTTCCAGATTTTCTATTCAAGAAGTTCATCTTGATAAGTTGGTTTACATCACAATTGGTTTAGCAAGATGATTTATTGAGTTGCTCCACTTAATAGCTAAACTATTGCTTATGAGAACAAAGTTATCTATATCAATTTGATATATGTTATATACCAAAGTATATTACATTCTCCCCTCACAAGTGGTTCAGGGTCAGGAACCAAATAATTTCATCTTATTATTATTGATCTGCGGTGTATATTTTGATTAACACCATAACGCACAAAGGTGGATTCTCAAAGTTGAGGTAACAAGTTAGTTTTTCTAACATGAGGGGGAGACATGATAAACAGTTGAGAAAAAGTTACGTGGAATGAATTATCATTTGTACATTTAGATCCTCGAATAAGATAATATGAACTTGAAGTTCATAAAAGGATAATTCATTTGCAATATATTGCAAAGCATGCCAGACGCATTTGCTGACCCAAAGAAAGTAACTATATTCTCACTACAAATGCTCCTATTAAAATAAGTCCTAGAAGGACAAAGTCTATGGTACGCTTAAAGCGTATAGACAAATTGGTTTCAAATAAACTTCTTGATAAAGAAGATGAGCAAATGATCTAAATGATCATAACAAAGGAGGCAAGTGATCTAGAAGATGAGCAAATGATCTAAATGATCATGACATAACACTTCACAAAAATCTCAGGAGAGATTCAGGTACCTGAAAATATAAATGAAGAGAGATCTCTATGTTATGTCTTTATAAGAAAAATAAGGAGGTTGGAACCGATATAAAATGTTCGTTGACGACATCTATGATAGCGCTAAATATATATGAGGATCTTAAGTCGGAAGAAACAATTTCGAATAGAATTGGTTTCACGTGAAAGACATGTAGTTTTGAACATGTAGTTCAAACACTTGAAAGTATAAAGTCAATGGTATGTGCAATCAATTTTCGATATCTTATATGTCTAGCATGACATGAAAACTTGATATGCATCTAAAGTATACTCTATGGCTTATATGACTTAATTTATATGACAATCCATGAAGGATTTAAGTTGCTTGAAGCATATACAATTCTTGATCTTGAAGTACCACTTCCTCAGTGCAATTTGTGCACAAATGTATCTTGCTATAACTATAGGCATGATAATATGATAGCAAGAGTTTTCACCTCTATGTGAAGATATTGAACTGACGATTCCGACAAGATCATATGAAGACAATACATCTATTAGGGATGATGATTTTAAGGTGAAACAAATTCGTTCAAGTTAATATGGCTGACTTGTTTTCAAATCTCTACCAGATATCTTTTAAAGATGGTGCACAAGATTGGAATGCAAATGCTTAAGGATGTGAATTGATGCTCTCATCAGGGGGAGTTAATACGCGTTGTACTCTTTTTCCTTTACAAGGTTTTGTCCCACTGGGTTTTCCTTGCAAGGTTTTTAACGAGGCAACCAAAAGGTGTATTATTAGATATGTGTACTCTTTTTCCTTCTCTAGAATTTTTCCCCACTGGGTTTTATTTTAGTTAAGGTTTTAACGAGGCACATTATCTGTTGAATAGACATTCAAGGGGGAGTGTTATAAATAGAATTGTATTTATGGTGAATGTCTATATTTAGAGAGATTCTAGGGTTCATTGCTTGGTGGCTAAGTCACCCCCTCCCTATCAATAGAGGGTTCTATTCTATTGTAATTCATCCCAAATCAATAAGAATTCTCTCTCCCTAATTTTCTCTACAATACTATTCTTTTCTTTTATTGTTTCATAACACAAAAGATAATTTGCTCATGAAAAATATTTTTTCCTTTACCGAACACAGACTAGATTTTCGTTTCCTTTCATTTCGAACAATCTACTGAAATAAATATTTTGGATTGGAAAAAGAAAGAGAAAAGAACAGATGCAATCATACAGACCATGCATAGAAGAAAAGAATGGAGAGGATAATTGGAAACTACAACATCAGACGGATTGGGCTTCTTTTGGGCTGCAGGTCCACCAATCCGGCCCATTTAGGTGATAAGCAAAATTCGTGTGCAGCTCAGGATCACCATAACCTTCAACTTCTCATCTACACTCTTCCAACCAGAAGTGTGTGAGCGAAGAGCAAAACAAAAACGTAACCATGGCTTCTTCTTTGCTTCTCTCTCCACTTTCTAGCTTGACGATTACTGAAAATCACGAGCTGGGTTCTGGTAAATCAACTTTCATATCCAATCCCAATTTCTCCTTTGCAACTTCTGTTCACAGTCGCAGGCCAAACGGCGTTCGAGGTTATTGTTACAGGTCTCCGGTAGCTAAGTCTTTGGACCATATACCCCAAAAATTCAGACAGGAAAATCTCAAAGATGGACGTAAGTGTCCTTTTTCTATTTCCATTAATTTCCTCCTTTTTTAAATGGATAAGTTCAAATATGTATCCCTAATTTGGCTTTAAAAAAAACAGATTGGTTTATCGGTGAGATTGAAATGCGAAACTGTTGAGAATAGTCAAAGAAGTGGTATTTTATATGCGAATTGTGTACCATTATATCTTTGCATAAAACTTGAGCTCACTTATTAAGCAAGAAAGAGTAGAAAAAGAGCTGGTAACTCAATTAGGAGTTAGCCCCCAATTAAAAGGATGCCCTATATTTGTACTTATCATAGTTTTTCACTGAAAAAGGAGAGTCCACATTTCTGCTATAGAAAAACTTATTGATTCATGACACACATATATGGGTATATATTTGCAGGAAAAAAGCACACTTATAGCTGCTAACTCATGGGCCACGAGACGGGCTCTTTATACATATGGATTATAACATGTTATATGTGTTTTACCTTGCATTTTTTTGAGTGAGGGTATTGGTGTTTCTATAAGCACTTACTATTGATGTAAAAACATATGAATCAAGGGGGTAGAGGAGGAAGGAACTACTTTATGTGTTTTTAAATGGAAAAAGAATTAATGTTTAAGCTCTCTATGGTCATCATTCAAGTGAAGGCATTTGTGAAATGGTCCTTTGCACACTTTCAGCAGTTCCCTTATTCTTGTCTGCTCTAGTTTTTTCAATTTAACTTTTTTCGTTATGTTTTTATCTTTTTTGAAATTTCTTATTATTTTGTGAAGATTTTGCTGGAATTTTTGTTCGGCAGCTTCTGCTCTTAATCATGTATACTATCTTTCTGTAGTACTGGACAACTATAAAAGTGCCCCTCAGTATCTTTATGGCCTTAGTCCTTCACAGATGGATATGTTCATGACAGAAGATAACCCAGCCCGGCGACAGTCAGAAAGTGTCACTGAGGTATGATCTTTTTTAATACCCGTTTCATGGTTTCCACGTATTTTAGTGGGTTTATGATGTTAATCGTGTTAAATTCATCTACATATCCCATTACAAAATCTGTCTTTGTAGAAATGACATTTAATATGTTTTTATCTAACAGGATAGTATATCTTCAGCCAATAACTATCTGAGCAATGGTGGAATGTGGAGTATGTCTGGCATGAATGATCGGGGCCCCTCGAAATACAGCATGAGCGTCAGCATGTACCGTGGAGGAGCAAGAGGATCTGGAAGACCTCGAACTGCGCCTCCTGATTTGCCATCTTTGCTTTTAGATGCTCGAATTGTCTATCTGGGCATGCCTGTACTTACCTTTACCTGGATCTTGCCTCCCTTTAACTGGTTTCATGCATTTTACATTTGCACTGTTCTTATCCTGATTTTCATCTTGGTTTATCGTTTGATTGCCACAGATTGTACCAGCTGTTACAGAGCTACTTGTTGCTCAGTTTATGTGGTTGGATTATGACAATCCATCAAAGCCTATATACCTATATATAAACTCATCAGGCACACAGGTAAGACAGTTTTCCTCCAATTTTTTTCTCCAAATGCATTTAGTTTTTGGAACAAGGTAATATATGGAAGCTAGAATAATTCATCTAGCTCATCTTTCATTTGGTTGCTTAATTGGAGGAGAATATGAGTTATCAATTACATAGTTATAGCAAGGGTTGGATGATTGATCTTTTAGGATGATATATGGTGGGGATTGCACATAAAGATTTGTGAGTCTTATTTGTGTCTGTATGACTAAAGCCCTCACGTGCCATTGCAAATGAATTATGCATAATAGACTTGAATAGGTTTGCATCCATCTGCATACTTGCATGCATTCATGAACACTCACAGATGGACGGTTCACTAAGTTGCTCAGACTCGGGTGCGGGCATCCGATACGGGCACGGATCTGAGCGTCGGATTCGGAAAAATCTAAATTTTTAAATTCGGGGGTGTGGATCCAGGTATGGATACGGGTGCGGGGATTCGGCTAAAAAAAATTCAAAATTATAAAAAATAGAGCTATAAAGAGAAAAATAAAGCCATTCAACGCCTTCCACCAACTCTCTATCCATATCGATGTTATTGTCTACCAGAAGTCCGTTTTTCTGGAACACAACCCTTGAATTCTTGGTTTTTCTGGAACACAAAGCAGCAAATATGAGACAAAAGTACTACAATATTGAAGGTATTCCATTTCCCATATCTTAAATCTGTTTTATTTTTAATTTTGAGAAATCAAAATCTCAATTTCCCCCCAAATTTGTGACGGACTCTGGTCAAAATATCCAAAGTTAGTTGACCAAATCCGGGAAGTATCCCGCTCCCGTCCCGTGTCGAGACAGGTGCGGCACCAAAAACGAAGAGTCCGCGCAACTTAGACGGTTCATAATAGTTAATCTCGGAAAAATTTTGATATGGATGCTACAACCTAAATTGTGCGGACTCTTCGATTTTGGTGCCGCGCCCGTCCCGATTCGAGACGAGGACGGGGACGGGATATGTCCCGGATTCGGTCCAACCGACTACGAACACTTTGACCGGAGTCCATCGACAAATTTGGGAGAGAAAGTGAGATTTTGATTTCTCAAAATCAAAAATAAAACAGATTTAGGACAATGAAAGAATAATGTCCATCTTGGAAAATGAAAGATTAAATTCTACAATATTCATGTGAGTTTTTCACATAATATCTCTCAAAATTTACAATATTTTTATAGCTCTATTTTTTATTAGCCGAATCCCCGCACTTGTATCCATATCCGGATCCGCACCCCCGAATCTTAAAATTTAGATTTTGCCGAATCCGATACTCGGATCCGTCCCCGAATCGGATACCCGCACCCGCGTCCGAGCAACTTAGGCTACAACAACAAACAACAACATTCTCGGTGTATTTCCATAGTGGGGGTCTAGGGAGGGTAATGTGTACGCAGACCTTATCCCTACTTTGGGGAGGTAGAGATGCTGTTTTCGATAGACTCTCTGCTTAATAAAAGCGGTCCTCAAGAAAAGCATTACCCCTGCCTATGTGCTGTCTAATGTACATGCTTAAACAAAGTATTCATGTACACATAAATTAGTTATTACTAGCACAGCTGACCTGGACGCCAACATCATAAAAAAAAATGCATCTACGCATCATGTGTTGTAAATAGTCTACATCTCAAAAGAAAAAAATGTTACTGTCAATAGTCTGGTGGGAAAGCTTCAAATGATTATAAACTACCAGGTTTGTTCTGCTGCATCATATCTCTGCAATTGATGGCACAATCTTCCTAAAGTAAGGATAATGTATTTGGTTTTTCTCATTATGATTTATCCAACTTTCAAATTGCAAACATAAAATGGGATCACTGATATGGCTAATCTAGAGAATTATTTGCCACTGGCCAAATGTAATAAATGATGTGTTCCTGGGCAGTAGTCAACCAAGAATGTATATACAGGGATGTGAAATCTGGTGTCNCTCCATTCTCAATTGCCTTAAGAGAATGTGATAGCAATATGCAATAAGTCTAAAAGAAGATAAAATTATTACCATAAAGGTATCAATGGATGTGGACGTGGTAATAGACGAAATTATAATCGTCATTATCACGGTAATGAGAATAATAAGGATTCTCAAATAAGCCTTCACTCTATGAAGTTAATGTTTGTCATCGATTTGACATAAGATTTCGTAAAGCACATACAGATGACTATGGTCCATTCATGATGTGAATGTGAAAACATCTGATTTATGAATACATATTCATTCTTGGAAGAATATAAATGTGCTAGTGGTAGTGAATATACCACACTCGCCTCTAAAAGGAGGTTTGAGATGATATAAGAAAATAATGTCATTATTATGGCATGAATGGTCATTGGTCACGTACCTATTGCACGCCAAAATATTTTAGCAATGTGATTGTTAAAGAATAACATTAATGCAAGAAACATATCTTGCATATAATTATGACCATAACCATAATGGTATAACTTTCTCTTTAAAGAGATATTCACCATATGGATGTTGATGAATATGTGGTAGTACCAAACTAATTGAGAGCTCTGGAAGAGCCAATTATTACTATTTTGGAGGAATAAAATTGATTATCAATAAGGCATTGTATTGTAGTAAGTCTGAAAGAAACTTAGTTTCTAAAGTATTCGCGAAAGCGGTTGGTCATATTGAGATAAAGGAAAGATTTAATATCTTCTATTACTACAACTTGTAGCGGGGTAATATGCATGTGAAAAGCTACTCGCTTTATTCTTCAGTTTGTACTACACAAACAAAAGAATGCCATAATAAAGTGGATGTTTATTGATATAAAAATCCATATCATAATAAACTTGGAGTTTATCGATAATTGCACACGTCGTGGTGTAAACCTAGTCTTTATCAATATTGATAATTTATTCAGTTGACATAATTGGTTTAGCCATATCAATTTAAGCATGATGTGCAAAAATAAAAGAGAATTCACATGAGTAAATATTAAAGAACTAGAAAGTTCTTTATGAATTCTCTTATGTTGCCTGGTCTCATTAATTAATATACCAACTAAAATTGGGATTGAATCCCATGAATGCTGGAAATATCAAAGGTGAATATGGGCCCATTCACCTGCCATGTATACCACATAAGATACATCTATGAGATGGTTGCATGTGAGATTATTATTAACCCGCAACCTGGTGTTTGCGAGGTAACTTGCTCAATAATTTAATTTCGAGCATAATTTCCAGATTTTCTATTCAAGAAGTTCATCTTGATAAGTTGGTTTAGATCACAATTGGTTTAGCAAGATGATTTATTGAGTTGCTCCACTTAATAGCTAAACAATTGCTTATGAGAACAAAGTTATCTATATCAATTTGATATATGTTATATACCAAAGTATATTACATTCTCCCCTCACAAGTGGTTCAGGGTCAGGAACCAAATAATTCCATCTCATTATTATTGATGTGCGGTGTATATTTTGATTAACACCATAACGCACAAAGATGAGTTCTCAAAGTTGAGAAAACAAGTTAGTTTTTCTAACATGAGGGGGAGACATGATAAACAGTTGAGAAAAAGTTACATGGAATGAATTATCATTTATACATCTAGATCCCCGAATAAAATAATATGAACTTGAAGTTCATAAAAGGATAATTCATTTGCAATATATTGCAAAGCATGCCAGACGCATTTGCTGACCCAAAGAAAGTAACTATATTCTCATTGCAAATGCTCCTATTAAGTCCTAGAAGGACAAAGTCTATGGTACGCTTAAAGCGTATAGACAAATCGGTTTCAAATAAACTTCTTGATAAAGAAGATGAGCAAATGATCTAAATGATCATAACAAAGGAGGCAAGTGATCTAGAAGATGAGCAAATGATCTAAATGATCATGACATAACACTTCACAAAAATCTCAGGAGAGATTCAGGTACCTGAAAATATAAATGAAGAGAGATCTCTATGTTATGTCTTTATATCTTTATTAAAATGTTAAACCGATATATAATGTTCGTCGACGACATCTATGATACCGCTAAATATATATGAGGATCTTAAGTCTGGTGAAACAATTCAAATAGAATTGGTTTCATATGAAAGACATGTAGTTTTGAACATGTAGTTCAAACACTTGAAAGTATAAAGTCAATGGTATGTGCAATCAGTTTTCGATATCTTATATGTCTAGCATGACATGAAAACTTGATATGCATCTAAAGTCAACTGATGGCTTATATGACTTAACTTATATGACAATCCATGAATGATTTAAGTTGCTTGAAGCATATACATTTCTTGATCTTGAAGTACCACTTGCTCAGTGCAATTTGTGCACAAATGTATCTTGCTATAACTATATGCATGATAATACGATAGCAAGGGTTTTCACCCTATATGAAGATATTGAAATGATGATTCCAACAAGATCATATGAAGACAATACATCTATCAGGGATGATGATTTCAAGGTGAAACAAATTCGTTGAAGTTAATATGGCTGATATTGTTCATCAAATCTCTACCAAAGATCTTTTGAAGATGGTGCACAAGATTGGAATGCAAATGCTTGAGAATGTGAATTGATGCTCTCATCAGGGGGAGTTAATACGCGTTGTACTCTTTTTCCCTTACAAGGTTTTGTCCCACTGGGTTTTCCTTGCAAGGTTTTTAACGAGGCAACCAAAAGGCGTATTGTTAGATATGTGTACTCTTTTTCCTTCTCTAGAATTTTTTTCCCACTGGGTTTTATTTTAGTTAAGGTTTTAACGAGACACATTATCTGTTGAATAGACATTCAAGGGGGAGTGTTATAAATAGAATTGTATTTATGGTGAATGTCTATATGTAGAGAGATTCTAGGGTTCATTGCTTGGTGGCTAAGTCACACTCTCCATATAAATAGAGGGTTCTATTCCATTGTAATTCATCCAATATCAATAAGAATCCTCTCTCTCTCTCTTTTTCTCTGCAATATTGTTCTTGTTCTTTTATTGTTTTATAACACATCTCTTATTGTTAATATATTTGTTTAATAATTACTACTATAAGCTTTATTATTTCGTACTTCTTGATTTGATGTAAGTAAATTTTTATCATTGCATAACTTAAGCCTACTTAATGGATGAACTAAATTGCAGCTAAAATTTATTTAAGAATTTCAAATTATTATTGATGTTCAATTTCCGTACAATATTTTTTATTATATTATTTATTTGTTCAAAAAGTTCTATTTAGTGTTCCAAATTTAATTTAAGTGAATTAGAATTTAATTTATAATTTAAAGTAATTATTCACGTAATTCAATCACATTTTACTCAATTCTCTATTACAGAATTGTTCATTATATTTAAAAGTGTTGGTTTTGAAAGATTGGATATGCTCAAATGATATATCAATAATTAAAATTAAAAATATATAGATTTTGTTTTAGTGATGATGACGTTTTTCTATTTAGATGCTTAAACTATAAAATTATACTTTTTGCACTTTTGTATGACAAATATAGAAAAGCTGATGATAATAGGTGAATTTGACTATAATCACACCTTAAATAATCACCTTCATGATTTGCAGGTGATATATGTACAAGAAAGGCTAAGGAGCAGTTTTGGAGTCAAAAATTGGATAAAAGAGGCCAAATGTGTAAATTCCCAATGAAGCCACGCCCTGCCAGCCCTTAGAATTCAGAGAACTGGTTTGGCCGCGGTTCTACCGCGACCGCGGCAGAACCGCGGTGGAAAGCAGCTGCAGAACTTTAGTGATTCCACGAGGGTGATTGGCCGCGGTTCTACCGCGACCGCGGCAGAACCGCGACAGGCGCAGAAAGTTCAGGGGTCAAAGTGTCAAATACGGGATTTTTAGACCTAAACCCTATTTAAAACATTAGACTTCGCCCAAGAGAGGCATGTATTGATTTTTAAGGTTTCTTAGCAAGGAAAACCATTGTGAGAGAATACTCTAAACATCTTTCTTCTTTTCTTTTGATTTTTATGATGAATTCAATCTTAGTTTATTTTCCCATAGCCATGAGTAGCTAAATTCCTTGTCTAAGGTTTTGATGGAACCTATTGGGTGATGAACTTCTTGTTTATGTGAATACAAATTGCTAGTTTAATCTCTATTTGTTCAACTTCGTGTTTGTTGTAGTTAATTGACAGGATCCTCAATTAGCTGTGCCTATTTAGTGTGCATAACTTGGAAAAGAGTGCATATTTAGGGTATTGTTGAACAACACCACTCCTAGATTATTAGAGGAATCTATAATTGCGGGTTTAAAGGCGGGATTAGGGATAACGAAGCCTTGGGTGTAATCTAAAGTGAATCGTGCTAAATAAATTAAGCTAGTGTATCTTGGGAGAGTGCAATAGTAGATTACTGTGATTACTCGGGAGAGATTTGCGGTAAGATTAGCGTTCATGATTGATAGAGATGAGTGGGTAAATTTGTATGAGCATAAACAGAAGGGATTCCATCAATAGGGGAAATCATTGCCTTAGCTTTTCCTCATAATTGTTTACAACCTTATTAGTTTAGTTTACAGCTATTTAGTTACTTGCAAGCTAGTTGTTAAAGAACATTCAACTGAGATTTGAATATTTGGAAAGCTGGTTCTGAAGAATTCGTGGGTCTGAAGATAGTGGTTGATAGGTTAACTCTCTGTGGATTCGACCCTGGGCGTAATACTCGGGTTATATTTGCAACGTCCGCAGAGTCCTTTTTCTAAGGCATAGTTGGGCGTGATCAAATTTTGGCATCGTTACCGGGGAGTTAACGGAATTATCAATTGCCATTGACAGAAATACAAAGATTCTTATTGTAGTCAGTTTTCTCTCTACCAACTTCTTCATTGAAAATTTGACGGTTGTTGATCTGGGTGCACAGGTGTATGCCTAGAAATTCTACGAGGACTGGAGAACTACTTGAAGGACTTTCAGACCCCGAGAAAACATTCCGGGCATTGAATCGTGTTAACAAAAGACTTCAACAACCCCAACAAACACATAAATTCGAAATTGACATGGGCGACATAAACAACCCCAGCGGGAACGTCAGGAATGAGCAATTGGCACCTCTCGTGCCTGAGGGTGCACTATATGACTGGGCACAACCCACAGCTGACAATCTGGCCACTGCCATTGTTGTGCCCGCAATACATGCTGAATCGTTCTAGATCACAAATAACATGCTACACTTGTTGCAGAACAAGGGACTCTTTTCTGGGACACAAACAGAAGATCCTTAGCAGCACTTGAAGAACTTCCTGTCTATATGCAAAACTCAAAGGCAACCCAACGTGACTCCGGAAGCAATCAGGCTATTATTGTTTCCATTCTCGGTGACAGGAGCTGCTCAGGTTTGGCTAAACTCGCTCCCCATAAACTCTATAGAAACTTGGGATGAGTTGGTCAAGCAATTTCACAACAAGTTCCATCCGCCCAACAAAACTGCTCAACAAATTGATGAGATTGTGAGCTTCAAACAGAAACCAATGGAGACACTACACGAGACATGGGGCAGGTTTAAAGGAATGTTGGTTATGTGTCCCCACCATGGTGTTTCAGAACAGATGTTGGGACAACGATTTTACATGGGACTGTCAGACAGCATGAAGAATATCGTTGATGCCTCGGCTGGTGGGGCATTCTTGAGCAAGACTTGGAGAGAAGGACAGAATTTGCTCGACAAGATGGCGCAGAATTCGGGTTGGACAACTAGGAACGCACCTATCACTCTAGTGGTGCACTCAGTGCCTCTTGATCCTTCTAATACAATGGCTGAAAATATGGCGACTCTCTTGACACAAATGAGCATCCTCACCAAAAAGGTGGAGGAATCAGGGCAGAAGCAGCAAGTTCATATAGTAGATACTACCAATGGGGGCTTGTGCACATCTTGCATTAGCCAGCCAATTGGTAATCCTTGGAATACTGAGCATGATCATCATCTCAGCACCCTGAAGATATGACTTGGCTAACTATGGGGGTCAGAGGCAAGGTAATCAGAACTGGGGTCAGCAGACTCAGCAGCAGTACAGGCCACCTCAGCCACAGTATAACGCCGGAAACATGGGAGGCATGAGACCCCCAAACAACATGGCACCGTATCCTAGACCACAGGGGTACAACAATCAGCAGCAAGGGTACCACCCACCTCAGCAACAACAGGGTGGAAGACAGGAAGACGGGTTTGCAAGACTTGAAGCAATGATGCAGCAGGTTATTGGGTCCAATGCTAAGATAAATGAAAGGGTGGATGCACATGATGCAGCTATCAAAAATATTGAGGTACAAGTGGGCCAGATTTCAATGTCACTTAACAATCGTCCTCAAGGGACATTACCTGCATATACCCAAATCAATCCAAAAGATCAGGGCCCAAAGCAGCTGATGGCGGTGAGTCTACGNGTGGAAAGCTTCAAATGATTATAACTACCAGGTTTGTTCTGCTGCATCATATCTCTGCAATTGATGGCACAATCTTCCTAAAGTAAGGATAATGTATTTGGTTTTTCTCATTATGATTTATCCAACTTTCAAATTGCAAACATAAAATGGGATCACTGATATGGCTAATCTAGAGAATTATTTGCCACTGGCCAAATGTAATAAATGATGTGTTCCTGGGCAGTAGTCAACCAAGAATGTATAATACAGGGATGTGAAATCTGGTGTCCTCCCATTTGTTGACCATGCATAAACTTTATACTATGTTAATGTACCATGCTGATTCTCTCTCGCTATACATTGCCCAGAATGAGAAGATGGAGACTGTTGGTTCTGAAACAGAGGCGTATGCCGTCGCTGACACAATGGCAGTAAGTATAACTAGACTTTTATGTTACTTATGTTGGTCACTGTATGGAGTTTAATGTTTGTGCTAGCACTGCCTGCCTTAGTTGAGTTTTAAAATAAAAAATGAGATATGAACAAAGCCACCAGTATTTATCCATAAACAGGCACGTATGGGGTGGAGGGAGCGGGTGAACAACTTGATGTAACTTATCTGTCTGTATGTTGCCCAAGACTTTGATCTTCATTCATCTAACTTATCACTTGTGTTTTTAAACTGTCAATAGTACTGCAAATCAGATATCTATACAGTGAACTGTGGCATGGCATATGGTCAAGCAGCAATGCTTCTGTCACTGGGAAAGAAGGGGTTCCGTGCTATGCAGCCAAATTCATCTAGTGAGGCTCAACTTTTCTCACTGAATTATGTTATGTTAATCCTAACTCTGGTGACTGTAGAACAATGCTCTTTTATGTTTCTAGTTTATATATGGGTACGAATAATGGACAGGAATGCACAGATGTTGCTTAAGGGTGTCTATTTATCAGCATGGCAAGTTGAATCACTGTTTTACTTGACACACCCATGGCCTGAGGATGGTTTCTTATAATGCTTCTACACTGTAGTATCACACAAGTGCTGCTATATATTCACAGCCAATCTAATGGTTTAAAAGTTCTAATGATATATGATAAATCAAGGATTTTTGAGTGTAGAACAGAAGTTGCTAAACTTCGATTTTATAATAACCTGCTGTTATTCATCAATCCTCTATGTTACTTCCTTCATTTCCTCCACACCCCTTTATTTGCTCTCCCTTTTTTTTGGGGGGTGGGGGTTGTGGGGGGGGGGGGGTCGTTGTGGTTGGTGGGGAGGGGTTAAGGTTAGAAGCAGAACAAAATATTTCCATGACTCATGATAGCTATCTATATCATTCAAAGGCCTGTACATGCTCTCATGCCTGCCAAATTTAGTCTAGTTTTCACTTTACTTCTTTGGGTTTTCACACTCTATTGTTGGATTGCAGCAAAATTGTATTTACCTAAAGTCAGCAAATCCAGTGGAGCAGTGATAGATATGTGGATCAAGGTCTCTCTCTCTTTCTCTCTCTATATATATAGTTAACTCCATGTGTTTATGTGTGCTATAAACACTAATGAAAGTACTCGTTTGAATTTATATTTTGCATGCATGGGTGTACATATGTTGGCAATGTATACACCTTCGTATCCAGGTCTATACCTGTCACTTGTCACTCAAGTATTCTGCTATTTTGCCTCCGCAGGCCAAAGAACTAGATGCAAACACTGATTATTACCTTGAACTATTAGCGAAAGGAATTGGAAAACCAAAGGAAGAAATCGAGAAAGATATTCAACGCCCTAAATATCTGCGGGCACAAGAAGCCATTGACTATGGCATTGCAGACAAGATAATCGATTCAAGAGACAATGCATTTGAGAAAAGGGTAATTTACTTCAAATATTTGCCAGTTACCATGTTACTACTCTTGTTTCATGTTGCTCACAAATATTTCTGTTATCAGAACTATGATGAGATACTCGCCCAATCTAGAGCTATGAGGAAAGCCGGACCAGGTGCTCAGGCTGCTCCATCTGGCTTCAGGTGACTGGAAGAGCGGTAATGGTCACAAGCTTTCAGGAACAACTGTTGTTCCCTTATAGTTTCGAGGAACAAAGTTGCTGGTTACTTGGTCTGTGCCGGTATAATGTAATTGGGACAAAGCACGTATTGTGGAAACCATGTTTGAGCTTGTGAAGTATAGGGGGTTTACAACTATCATGCACAGGTCTGCGAAAAGTACTCATAATGTCAATTGGTTGTACCAGTATCAAACAATCAGATAGTGGCAGTGTATGGTATAAATGAATATAAATCTCTCTGATGTCATTTTGCGTTTAACATGTTCCATATCATTTACCAGTTTGCAAATCCAGATTTATGGTGGGCTATGGTAGCTTGAAAGTGGTAAATTAGGTTACATGCTTAGCGTCTTGCTTGAGCTCTGGCGAATTTTTTGCTGGCAATATTGAGACCCATCAATTTTTTCTCATTGCATATGCCTTACAACTTCAAGTTTTCCATGGAAATACAGCCAAACGAATTCTTACAAATAGTTTTTCTTTTGCGAGAGGAAAGAAATGCCGGTTGACAACCACCTAAGGCTACACCAACAAAAAAGTGATTTGAAATCCATAAGTGGACGGCATAAGCCACTTTATTTTGAAATATATGCATAGCCCTTGTCAATTTTCGGACTAAAATACAAGTTCCAATTTCTCTTATTTGCGAAGGGAAATGTAGTTATCCCATTTTGATGAGTACCTGTCCTTCGATCAATCTGCTTATTTGAAGAGAGATTTTTCTGCACTTCTATTTTTCTTTGAAGGGGGTCCTGACCTTCTAGCAGTAGCGTACGCACAACTTTTTACAAGCGGTGTCTCATTTAAAGAAATGAATAAACAAATAAACCATTATAACAATATCTTACTAAAAAAAAAATCAAGTACATTAGATACTACAACTCTTCTCTACGAGTTTTTATTTTTTGAAACGTATCCATAATAGACTTGCTTCTGGAATAGTGAGTTGTTTGAAAATATGCACCCACAACCTCGTTATTCTATTAGCTCTATCTTCCCAAAAAAAAGTCTTAGAATTTTAAATAGTCTCCACCAATCCTATGTCAGAAAAGTTTAAGGTTTTAAAGAATTAACCTAAATAGCAGCTTACTTAATCTCTTAAACTAAAAATAGCCGGCGGATGTAAAATATACATAAATTCATGTACAATAGATTTATAGTTATGTATAATTAATGTATAATCTATGAGTACCGGCTAGAAAAAATAAATATTGAATTTGGCCTGCTATTTGTGTAACAATCCCGGTAATTTATTGGGAAAGAGTCAAATAGTTGTATAGGTTGTGGACTTCGAGCCCATGACCTGTTACAAGTAATAAGTAGCACCCAACCAACAAGCCACTGGACTGCTTTGTTTCAAGTGACGTCCTTTTTATTATTTGTCCGAATATTTCTGCTTGAGTTATTATATACACATATATTTAGTAAAATATTTTGGAGCAATTGCTACGTTGAAGACAAGGAAATTAAGTAGAAAGTAAAAATTAAGAAAAGGGGAAATATGTCATGTATTTTCGGTACTCCAATTCTTGTACAATCATTGCCCTAAATAGTGGAATAGGACAACTGCATCCCTTTTGGAAATATCTAGACAAAGCAATTAGACTAAAACACGTGTCCCTTGAGTCAGTTAGCTAATTTGGGAACTTAGACAACTAATTGAAAATAGATAAACTTCTGGACTAAAAATGTAAAGACTAAAAAAACAATTGAAGTTACGAAATGGATAATTTCGTAACATTCCATTCCCCTTCAGAACATTACTTGTTGCCGGTGGGTTGTCGATCAAACTTAGGAAATTGGGAGCGCAGAAAGGAGTAGTCTTCCCAGGTGGCCTCTTCTTTAGGCAAATTAGCCCACCGTACTAAAACTTGAACGACAGCTTTATTCCCTTTTTTGACCATGCGTCGTTCTACGATTTCCACTGGTTCTATCAAGACTTGACCTTCATTGTTGCAATAGGAGGATCAACTGAGGGAAACACATTTGAACAACCTTGTTTCTTCAATTGCGACACATGGAAGACGGGATGTATTTTTGATTCTGCCGGAAGTTCAAGTTCATAGGCCACCGGTCCAACTTTTCTGATGACTTTGTAGGGTCCAAAATACTTAGCCCTCAATTTCAGATTTTTGCAAATGGCCACAGACGTTTGGCGATAAGGTTGAAGCTTGAGGAACACCATATCTCCAATTTCAAATTTCCGATCACTTCTTTTCTTATCGGTAAATTGCTTCATCCTATTTTGTGCCTTCTGGAGGTTATCACGCGGTACCTTGCTCATGAGTTGTCTTTCTTTTAGCAACCTATCCACAATCTCTAATTTTGTCTGCGACACTAGCTCAAAGGTGGGCTGTGGAAGTTCATACCCATAAAGAGCTTTGAATGGCGACATGAAAATTGCTGAATGGTTGTTATACCAAAATTCCGCTAATGGAATCCATCTGCTTCAATCCTTGGGTTTGTGCCCAGTCATACAGCGTAAATACGTCTCCAAACATCTATTTAACCTCTTTGATTGTCCATCTGTTTGTGGATGGTATGCTGTGCTGAGTTTCTGCTGGATTTGTAATCCTTTGAGCAATTCTTTTCAGAAATTACTGACAAAAAGTGGGTCTCTATCAGATACCACTAAGAAAGGAGTTCCGTGCAATTTAAAAACATTATCGAAGAACAATTGAGCTGCTTGAGCTGCATTGAAAGGGTGGGATAACGTTAGGAAATGTGCATATTTGGTGAATTTATCGATGACTACCAGAATGGTGTCTTTCCCATGTGACTTTGGAAGGCCTTCGATGAAATCGATTGTCAAATGCTCCCATGCTTTGGAGGGAAGGGGCAGTGGTTGTAATAGTCCGGGGTAAGAAACATTTTCCCCTTTGTTCCTTTGGCAAATCGCGCAAGCCTTCACCTTTTCCTTGACATCCTTCAATAATGAAGGCCAGTAAAAAATTTATCTTAGTTTCTGGGCATGCATTTCTTCAATGTCTTTCCCCGAGATGCCCATTACTTCCAACCCATACTTGTCCATTTTTTCGAAGAATTCCCTGTTGATAAGTGGTGTCTGGTACTGCGGCTGCATCTAAGCTCAGTTGTTCAATGAGCTGTTGGACCACTGGTTCATTGTTGTAACTCCCCACAATTTCTCAACCCATTTAGGTTGTGTTACAGAGAGTCCATGGCATTCTCCTGAATTTTCATGTTTGCGGGATAAGGCATCTGCCACTGCATTATCTGTACCTTTCCTATAGTGGATTTCATAATCAAGACCCATCAATTTTGTGATACCTTTGTGTTGTAAGGCTGTTGTTATCCTCTGGTCACGAAGGTACTTCAGGCTGAAATGGTCAGTGCGGATGATGAATTTATTAGGCTGTATATAGTTTCTCCACTTTTCTACTACCGTCAAAAGCGCAATCAGCTCCTTTTCATAGGCGGACACGCCTAAATGCTTGGGGCTGAGAGTTTGGCTGAGGTACGTAAGAGGTTTCTTGCTCTGCATAAGCACTGCTCCTATCCCTGTCCCACTGGCATCAACTTCAATGACAAAAGGTTGGGAGAAATTGGGCAAGCCAAGTACAGGAGCGCTTACCATTGCCTTCTTCAGTTCCTCGAACGCCTTGGTGGCTAGGTCAGTCCATTAGAAAACTCCTTTCTTGAGTAATTCTATGAGGGGTTTGCTTATCACAGCATAGTTCTTGATAAAACGCCTATAGTAACCCGTTAATCCTAGGAACCCTCTTAGATTCTTCAAATTGTTGGGCCTAGGCCAAGTCACCATGGCTTTAATTTTAGTCACATCTGTGCTAACCACTTCACCTGAAATAATGTGACCAAGGTATTCAACCCGCCTTTGGGCGAAACTGCATTTAGAGTATTTGGCAACCAACTGGTTCAACTTTAGCAACTCAAAGACCAACTCTAGGTGTTGTAAGTGTTCTTCCAGCTTGGTACTATACACTAATATGTCGTCAAAAAAGACTAGAACAAACTTCCTTAAAATTGGCCCAAAGATTTCATGCATTAAAGCTTGGAAGGTAGCGGGTGCATTTGTCAGTCCAAAGGGCATGACACAAAATTCCCATAAGCCATGATGTGTTCTAAATGTCGTTTTATACTCATCACCTTTCCTCATAAGAAGTTGGTGATAATCGGACCTCAAGTCCAATTTTGAGAAATTTTTTGCCCCATGTAACTCATCTAATAGATCTTCCACCACTGGAATGGAATATTTATTCTTCACAGTGATCTCATTGAGTTTGCGATAGTCAACACAAGATCGTCACGATGAATCTTTCTTGTTAACTAAGATCACTGGGGAAACAAATGGAGAACAACTATGAGAAATCACTTGGGCTGCCAACATTTCTCTCACCATCTTCTCTATAATATTTTTCTGTTCGTATGAGTACCTATAAGGTCTTTGATTGACTGGATTTGACCCTGGTATAGTTCAATGGAATGATCACTCTTCCTTGTCGGTGGTAACCCCTTAGGCTCTTGAAACACCTCTGAATATTTTTGTATCAACAATTGAATTAGCCTAGAAATCGTGGGCTCTTGTGGGGTCGTTTCTGCCACCAGTTGGGCTGTGAAGATGCACTGACCCAAACTCAATAGTTTTTTAATGGCCTTAGCATCCTTAAGTTCCAACGGGCCCTCCTCCTCCTTACCCAAAAGTGTAATGAATTTCCCTTCCTTAAGGAATGAAATACTGTGAGGACGACTGTGTAACACTACTGCAACTGTTGTATTGACCCAGTCCATTCCCAATTCACTCCCCCTGCCTTCAACACTCTCAAATCAAACTCGAATAACTCACTGATGTTTTATACTTCAATACCACACAAGAGGGGGGGGGGGGGTGATTTGTGTGGTGTCCAATTTTTCGCTTAAGTTGTTTATGGAAGGACCTGGTTCTTCCATGTGTTCCAACTACTACTGGTGCGGAATAATAAGTACAGAAATTAAAGAACACAAAGATTTTACGTGGAAAACACGTGGCTCAAAAGGTGAAAAAACCACGACATACTTTCTAGTAGGATTTTCCCAAACTCTCCACTAAAATCACTGAGCCAAAAACTGCACTAACAAAACACTTTTGTAAACTTAGGATTAACTCTAATCCCGTTGTAGCACACAGCCTCAACTGTTGCGACAACTTCAAGTTAACTCTAACTTGAAAACTCTAAGTACCTAACAAAATTGCTTCTAGATAAAGCTGAAAGGTACAATATGAAAGCACCTACTACAATTGAACTAGAATAAAAGACAGAC